CAGATGCACTTACATGGTGAAACAAATTTTAGACAATACTTACTATAAGTGATATCTTTGGTATTTTAAAATTGTTTTCTTTCCATTTTCTTAAAAAAATGCTGATCTTGATCTCTAAGCTTATTTTACTATCTTATTGAACCCACACTCTATATATTTATAGTTTCTGGATATTGTACTTAGAAAATGTCCTAGTGAATACAGACTTCAACAATGTGAAAGAGATGTAGTTTTACTTTTATATCTGTATTTTCTAATGTAATTACTTACCACATTTTCTGAGTATTGGGATATAGCTGTGCTCTTCAGCCTTTTTTTTTTTAACAGAATGGAATGCATAGAAAATGATAACATTTTATTGACATTTTAGAGCATAGGCTTTCTAAAATTTCTAAAATTTTGGAATGATAAAGATAGAGAAATTGTTTTGTTTAAGGATATCAAAGATCATAGCAGAACTTACTGGCAAATTGCTATCTTTTTTTTGTTTGTTTGTTTGTAGGTAATATAAGGTTTTTCTTGGAAGTTGACTTCTGAGTATTTGTGAATAACCTCTCACATAGTATCAACTACAGACAAATCCACTCTTGAATGAATTCCTAATGTAAAGTTTGGGAACTACCTTGAACTTTAAAATATTCTACAAATATTCCCTACTTAGTTAAAGTTACATAATTACTAAAGTTTTAGGAACTATGGTGTTTTATATTATAGCATATTTATATCAATTCATAGATATTTTGTATTTATTGATTATATAAATAAAATTTCTGAGGCTCATGTATTCCTACCTGGTAAGTTTATGTTTTTTAGAATACTAAGGACTACAGTGCTTATTTTATTCAAGACATAATTATGGTAAATAATTCTCTAGAAAATTGAGTTGTAACACTAGTAGGTGTTTAGAAAAAGTTGCTGACTGGCTGATAAAATTTAAAAAGTTAATGTAGTTGTTAAGGTTGCCAAACCTAAGGCATAGGAAGATATTAGTGGGAAACTGTTCCAGACTAATAAGTCTATTAAAATAACCCAAATTAAAGTCAATCAGTCATTTGTTGTTATTTCCCTTCTAAGTAAATAATGTATAAATATTTTGATTTTTTTTGAGCATTTGCTATATCCCTAACATTGTTTTAAACACAGTGGGATATTAAAAGATACCTAGTTCTTACAGGGAAGTTACAATCTATTTGCAGAAGCAGATTATATGCAAACTAAAGGTTAAACCAGTGATCACGCATTTGTGTGGCATGGGAACCACAGGACACTGAGAACTCTGGAAGATTGGTATGATGTTCTTTTGAAACATATATACATTACTTTGCTTTATAATGGTTCTTCAGGGCTTAGAGAGTTTTAAGAAGGCATTTGCAGATTTAAAGGGCAAAATTAAGAGAGTCTCAAAGACTAAGAGTTAGTGATGCTAGAATTGTTATGCTTCTGTTTCTCCTCTTGCTTCAATAAATAGTATATATTACCTTTTGTCTCCACAACTTGCAGGGCACCAGGCACATGGAGAAATCTTAAAGCACAATAAATATTTGTTGAATTAATGCATCTTTCTTGAAGGCAAAGGTTATATTTTTTTCTTCTTTTTATGATTCTCCATGACTCCTGGTAGGATGTTTTGCACACAGTGACATCCAGCAACTATAAAGTATTGAGAATGTTCATTTAATGAGGAAGAAACATAGCTAAAGTGAGTATTACTTGGCCAAGATACCTCACAAATTCTTCCATTCGCTCAGGAATGGATATGCTCACTGGACCCTGTGCTAACATGAGGTCTAGTAGTCTAATGATGACTTTAGCAAGAGTTACATGTTTTCATGCCTTTGTACTGGCTGGTCAGCTCTTATTCTTTCTTCAATTCTCAGTTCACTGGCCACTTTCCCTTTTGGTATTCCAGACTGGGTTAGGGTTAACCCTTTCACAGCTTATCTCTAGCTGTGTGGTGGTTTGCCTTTATCCCTTACCAGATGGAGTTCCACAAGAGCAGAATTGAATCATTTCTCTCTTTGCCTGTTGTACCAAGCCCACTACCTTGTTTATAAATTTTATCTGATGGGAGTTTGTTGAGTAAGTGTTTGTAGGACAAATATAATCATTAACGGTGGTGGTTAGACATCTGGCTTTGAACTGGCAACTTGGCTTTAAAATTGTGTTAAGGGACCTAACTGAAAAAAACAAATACCAGAATTATAACAGTTTGGGGAATAAAGATGAGTCAATGAGAAAGAGAAATGGAAAAGTCACAAAAATTCAGTGTCAAATATAAAATGAACCTTATATTACCATTACTAAGGCATTCATATTGAGTGGGCATACACATTTTTTTTTCTGGTGCTAGACTTTTCCTTCCTGTGCATCTAGTGCCTTGTTGAAATGGTGCAAGTGACCCTTTCAGTATACACTGAGTGTAAGAACATAGGGCAGTGACCTTAGGGACCATTCAGTGAAAGTCTTGGTTAACTGCAGTGAAAAAAACAGATTTTAGAGCCCACAAAGGCAGGCACCTTTCAGTGATAGAGTCTTGTCTATGCAGCAGTGAGCAGAGGAGCCTCCTCTAACTCTGTTACCCTCATCTTCCTTCTCCACCATCCTCCTTTTCCAGCAACCCCCCCTGTGGACAGTCCAGAAACAGCTGTGTGGTCTTGGTGGATGGTGGGTGGTCTCCCTCCTCAAACATGCTATTTCACTATGACTATCCATGTATTCAGGAGAGGAGGCGAGTCTCTCTATAGTCCATTTGGGTGACCCTCGTGTATACTATTGGTAATAGTCATGGCCGCCTTCATTGAGGCCTTGTGCCAGACTGGCTATACAGGTTATCTCATATTGTCACACAACCTGCACATGTATACTGTTTACTCCCCTTTTTATAAATAAAGGGAGTAGCAGAGTTGGGTGATGTGATGTGTCCTGTCCATGCCATGGAGCCAGTAAGTGGCAAAACCAGGATTCCCATCTGGCTCCTCTAAATCCCCAAATTCCATAGATTTCTCCAGACATCACATCACCTTTTATAAAGTAAAGAGGATAGAGTGACCTGTCCATATTTGTTAGGTAAAATGGTATATTAAGAGGAACAGGCATAATGCTTTCTGTAGAGTTTAAATACTTACCTATTGCTGGATAAATGACTACCTGCATAGGCATGAGATTCTTAAAAAGAAAAAGAATCACTCATTTGTCACAACATAGATTTAAGATCATTACGACAACTATAATTTCATGAAAATGTGAAGCCGAAAAACAAAATTCATGAACTTTTTAAAATTTTTATTTATTTTATTTTTTAAAAGATTTTATTTATTTATTCATGAGAGACACACAGAGAGAGCCAGAGACACAGGCAGAGGGAGAATCAGGCTCCATGGAGGGAGCCCGTTGTGGGACTCGATCCCTGGACTCCAGAATCATGCCCTGAGTGGAAGGCAGACGCTTAACGGATGAGCCACCCAGGTGTCCCACTTTTATTTTTTTTAATAACCATTGTATTTAGAGAATACAGTTTTTTGTTTCATTGTGTATACTACTAATAAAAAAAAACCTAACAATTTTCCTAGTTAAGTGTACTTAGAAGAAATTATGGAACTTGTGTAATACACACAGTATTTTTTTAAACTACTATAAGTGCCTACCAGCTCATTATTTTTAGCTTGAGCCATTATTTCTAAATTTAAAAGGCCTAATTAAAATATAATTGTTAATGAAGCCATAATGTTTATTCAAAGTTTAAGTTAATAGAGAACTGTCTATTTAAATACTCAACTTAAATAGCACTCAAAAATTTTATTTTTGACACTCTCAGAACAAAATAAATAATAATTGTTATCATTAGGTTAGAAATAGGGACTGAATAGTTTTAAAATATTTTTCAAAAACTTGGAAATGTTGTTTGGTAGCAAATACAATGAAATCTATCGTATCCTTATTTATTTGATTGGGGGTTTTCAGTTCTCACCAGAACTTTTTGAGAATAAATAAAATGTATATATAGGGTTAAAGTAGTTATTTACTTTATATGAAGACATATGCCATTATACAGTTGGAAACTACAGGTGCCTCACGTGTCTTGGATTGTGTGATAACAATTATATCATTCTATTCTCAGAAACTATTTGGAAGAGAAGTTAAAACAAATGCAAAACTTGGGGCACCTGGGTGATGCAGTTAAGTGTCCACTCTTGGTTTCAGCTTAGGTGATGATCTCAAGGTGGTGATCTCAGTGTTGTGAGATCGAGCCCCCATCAGGCTCCATGCTCAGAGCATAATCTGCTTCACATTCTCTCTCGCTGTCCCTCTGCCCTTCCTGCTTGTGTGCTCTATCTCTCTTAAATAAATAAAGAGACAGAGAGAGCACAAGTGGCGGAGGGGCAGAAGAAAGGCAAAAAGCAAACTACCTGTTTAGTAGGGAGCCCATGTGGGGCCCAATTCCAGGACCCTGGGATCATGACCAGAGCTGAAGGCAGACACTTAACCAACTGAGCCACCCAGGAGCCCCTAAAAAAATTTAAAACTAGAGGGAAGACTAATTTCTTTTAGCACAAGTAGATCTCCACTTTTGATAAAGTGTATTATTTTCCCTAAAAGCTCCTTAGGCCCAGCTCCTGCTTATCTTAAATGTCTCCGTATCCCTAGTAGAGTGCTTTGCATATTAATAAGTATGAATTTAACTTGATTGTATCAGTCTACTCGTAGGTCAGCTGGCACCCTACAGACACGGAGATGGAACGTTCCTTTTCACTAAATGGGTATAACTAGTTCTTCCTCTATATATACCCCTGGAAATTCAGTCACAAAGAGTGAAAAATAGCTGGGTATTAAAACAGGACATTACAGACTCAGTAAGTCAACCTTGTTAGATTTCTCTTCCCTTCATCCTGGATTAGAGTATCAGGAGTTACGCAGAAATATAAACTCTGAGCTACACTTCTCTTAAATCCTGCTGGGTCATTTAGCTTGTCTTTATGTGGTGTGTTTATATATGGATGAAGGTGGTGGAATCACGCATTGAAAATGCCACCAAGAGGATTCTACAACTCTCTGGATGTTATACCAATGGGCGATTGGTATCAGACAGTCAAGAGAACCAACAATTGAATTAGAAGATGAATAGGTAAGACGATATGAGTCAATATTGGGTGGCTGTCTTAAAAAAAACAAACAACTAACCAATCTAAAATGTTAAATCAAAAGTAAACCAAAATGAAAATTCACCAAAATTGGTGGCTCTTTAAAAAAAAAGAAACAAACCAATTTATGCTCATTTGGTTTGTGGACTAATTCATGTACAAATGTTCAACCAAAAATTAAAAAAAAAAAAGTAAAGGAAGGTCAAATTTCTATCTCCCCTCCCCACCCCCCAGGAAGGAAGTTAGAGTTATTTAACCCACACATTGTATATGGTTGATTATCATTTTTTTAAAGATTTTATTTATTTATTCATGAGACAGAGAGAGAGAGAGGCAGAGACACAGGCAGAGGGAGAAACAGGCTCCATGCAGGGAGCCTGACATGGGACTTGATCCCAGGTCTCCAGGATCACGCCCTGGGCTGAAGGAGGCGCTAAACCACTGAGCCACCTGGGCTGCCCCAGGGTTGATTATTAAAGCTGAGTTGATCTGAAAAGTTTTATATATATGGGCAAATCCTGAATAGAAAGGAAATGTGATTTCTACTTTGAATATACAATTAGCAAATTTAGGAATAGGAGTTTTTGTTTTTTGTTTTTAGCTTGTCATGAAAATAATGCCATGACCTTTGGTTTCAGGCCACAAAATGAAGTGACAGACAGAGCCTGACTTCCTACTGTCAAAAAGGTAAAGTATAAGAAAAGAATGGTACCTGTGGAAATTCAAAGCTTTGATCACATACTGACCAAATCTTACCATTTAGTATTTCTGTTTGTAAACTAGACTTTTTTTTTTAATTTTAAAGATTTTATTTATTTATTCATGAGAAGCAGAGAGAGAGAGAGACACACAGGCAGAGACACAGGCAGAGACACAGGCAGAAGCCGCTCTATGTAGGGAGCCCGACGTGGGACTCGATCCCGGGTCTCCAGGATCACGCCCTGGGCTGAAGATAGGCGCTAAACCACTGAGCCATCCAAGGATCCCCTGTAAACTAGATTTTTATTTGATATAGCAAAAATATGTGCTTTCTTTTAATTTCAGTTTATTTTTTCTTAAAAACAAAAGGCAAAGCATCTGTCCTATAAGATAAATAAACTTTAAGAAGTGTTTGCTAATTGCCATATCTTCTAAATATGGCTTCTCTAGAGTTTATTTAATGCAGGTTTTCTTTAGAAAGTTGCAGAGTCATGAAGAAGAGTCACACAGGAAACATTGACAGTTTTACTCTTATTTATAGGAAAAGTTCTATGTGAGACAAAGGAAACCATTTTGAAACTGTCTTAGAATAGTTTTTGAAGCTTAGTTTTGGATAGTAAAATGGAAATTAAAACTGACTATTATTTGCAGTTATTCCTTCAATAATAATAATTTTCACACTAGTTTGGATGTGACCCAGTTGCTATTGATGGAACTCCCCCAAGCCCTTTTGAATTGTTATGTAGGTAAAATTAAAGTCCTGGAATGTATATTTAAAGACTTGTCCAAAGCCATGTAGCCAGTGGCAGAACTGATGTTAAGTGTACATTTCCTGACTTCAGCTCTGTTTCTACTGCTTTTTTTCTTCTCGTTACTATCTTATTTAATTTATGATGGGGTAATATATCTTGAGGAAAATAAACAGGAAAGAGTAAAATGAATTCTAGCTTACTACTGTTGTTTTTAGCAATTTTCAACATCCTGGTTTATTTCATTCCTAGAGTATACATGTCCTGTGGTAGATGTTGGTATTCAGCAAAATGCATGAATAAGAACCTCATTAAGTGTGAGAGCTTGTGTCTCAGTTTCCTTTCTGGGATGTAGTAAAAGCTACTTTTTGCAGTTGGCAGAATGCAGAGAAATGTAGCTTATTTAAAATGTGTAGTATAGAGTTGATATATATATATAAGTGCCCCCCAGCTGTGAGGTATTATTGTATTTCCCTTAATAATTGATATTATCAAGAAAGAGGAAAGATTTACTCTTTTAAATTAAAATACTTAAAAATTTGGAGATAAGTAGAAATTCACCTTCTGGAGAAGGAATTCTCAGTGTTCCAATGATTTCTCTTATAAGCATTGTTAGCACATGGTAAAGCCCAATAAATGAGAAACTGGAAAATAATTAATGTTTCAATATTAAAAACCACATAAACCAGAGTAATTATCAGCTTAGTTACTAAATTAAATTATTTTGCTTTGAAACTCCAGCTTTATGCTAAAAAGAATAGACTAAAAAGTCCTTTTAGATGTGGCATTAGTTCTCAGAAAATAAGTACTGTGATGAATTATGGGAAAATGAGTTTAAGACATGGATTAAATATTTATTAAGTATGTGAATTTAAAAATTAAGGAAATGTTGGAAATTTGTCTTAGAAATGCTTAGTTTGGGCACCATGAAAGTAGTTTTATTTTTGGTTCTGATTATAAAAATTGACAGCTTATTCTTTTTTTTCCCCCTCATCTAGTTAAACATGAATTAAAAACTTGCAGAGTTGGTAAAATTTCTGGGATCATGTGGTCTTCCACTTTTCATGGCACCTGTGGTACAAATATAATCTAGAGAAACTAAGAGGAACTAACTTGGTTCTTGCAAGGGAGGGGACTGGAGTTCAGCTCCCCGCCTCACCTTTGCAGAACCAGGGCTCTGTGGAGCGAGAACAGACCTTTCCTTTTATTGACTTTTACAGGTGAGGAAACAGAATCCCTAAGCGTTGTGTACCGTGCTCTAAGACACAGTCTGAGACAGACAGTGACAGAGTCGGTTCTTGAACAAACCCTCTCCTCTTCTGCTCTTTTGATTGCATGCTATATCCTTACTAGTAAAGAATCTGTAGCAATTCCAGATTCTTTTCTCTTCTCCATTTTTATTATAGAGCTGTACCTGACAAGAAAGTCCGTTTAACTTGGTAGCAGCATGATGGGCATTTCCTTGGATTAGTTGCAAAACCATCTCAATGGATAAAGAAGATGTGTACACATGTGTATACAATGGAATATTCCTCAGCCATTAGAAATGACAAATACCCACCATTTGCTTCAACATGGATGGAACTGGAGGGTATTATGCTCAGTGAAGTAAGTCAATTGGAGAAGGACAAAGATTATATGGTCTCATTCATTTGGGGAATATAAATAATAGTGAAAGGGAATAGAAGGGAAGGGAGAAGAAATGTGTGGGAAATATCAGAAAGGGAGACAGAACATGAAGACTCCTAACTCTGGGAAATGAACTAGGGGTGGTGGAAGGGGAGGAGGCCAGGGGGTGAGGGTGAATGGGTGATGGGCACTGAGGGGGGCACTTGACAGGATGAACACTGGGTGTTATTTTGTATGTTGGCAAATTGAACATGAATAAAAAATAAATTTATTATTAAAAAAACATTCTTGAAAACAAAAACAAAACAACAAAAAAAATGTTTAATTAAATGATTATTCACCTATTGATCACCTACTGTGTGTTGGTGCTAAGCTGTGGAAATATCAAGAAGATGAGCACTTCATTTTTTCCCTAATAAGTAAAAGGAATATAGAGGTAAACACATAAAAAATGCCATGTTTCTTATAGCCGCTTATCTAGAAAATAAAAATTGTGTTAACAATGTTGATTCTTTAAGCATTAAATATTAATCATTAAATAATACATTGCTCATGGAAATATAATACATATACCAGAAAGGTAAGATAGTTGATTAATTCTATATTTTTATTTCAAAAAAATTATGTTCTTATAAATGAGTTTTTATTAATTATTGCTATGAGTCATGACTCCCAAGGGCTGGAAGCTCTCTGGTCTCTGTCAGAGGGCTGGGTGACTGATGAGGTTGAATAATGCTGAGGATGTTGGAGTCTCTCTTGTAGTCTGGTGTAATGGAGCCTGAAGAGTTGGTGGTAGGTTATAGATAAATAGACACCTATCTCCTTATGTAATTACTGATGGCTGTGGTTACCATGTAACTAGTCAAAGTTGCTTTAGGCTTCTAAGTGTTTTGAGTCTGATTGATTAGCCATGATCTAGACAAAATAAAAGACTTTGACGGGGAAAATTAATTGGCACACCAGAGGCCCATGTAGCTATGCCAGGCTCCACTTCAGGATTCTTTGCCTTATTAATGCCTTGCTTATCGTGGGAGTTCAGGATTTTGAGAATCACCTAGTCTGCCTGGTACTCGCCTGATTTTCTGGCACTTTGCTGTTGAACTGTACCTATCCTTGTCTGCCACAGTAAATCATGCTGTTTCTACTACATGCTATTTTAGTAGGCTGTCTCCTCCCCCCACCCAATACCATGAACCCTGCCTAGCCTCATTCTATGTCAAACTATATTTACTGTCTACCAGCCTTAAGGAGGGGATCTAATTTCTCTTTTGATGTCTGTATCATGAATGAAGTATAAGAAGAAAGTGGCTTTGTTATGGGACTAGGTAGAAAGAAGTCAGAATTTGAGGCAACCAAAGTGGCTAGGATTAGAGGGGTGCATTTCTGAAGAGAAGGAAACCACAGAAAAGTGGCCTAAATGTCTACATATAAATTCTGCTTACTTGCTAACTACTAACCTGCACATAAAAGGGGCAGAGATTTCAAGAAACCTAGTACAAAAATATATCTGATGGCCAATAGCTGATCTGAGATATTTGCAGCCACATGGTGCTAAAGGAGAGATTGGAATTTAAGTGTTGCCAAGGTGGGGGAGTGTTGGTAAATAGTGTCAGGCTTTTGGTGGAGACCCTGCGGGTCAAGCCCCAGGAGTAAGGATTTTACTCTGGGAAAACCACAAGACAAGAGCTGACAGGGTTTCCTGTCAAGCCTAGAAAGGAACAGGTGATCTACTAGAATTTTTTTTCTTCTTTTTTTCTGAATGCCAGGAAAACATTTAATGTTCTTTGAAGAAAGATATCATTCAGAGTTTCCATGATATTTAATAAAAAATTGCAAGGCGTGCCATAACACAGGACAAAATGACCAAAACCAGGGAAGCGGGGGCAAAACCACAACAAACTCATAAATGATTGAGATATTGTATTTATAAGATAAGGACTTAAAGTAGCTCTGGTTAATATGATCAAGAAAATGGAGAAAATGATGTACCAAGATAATTGGAGAGATGAATAACTTGAGCAGAGAATTAAAATTTATAGAAATTCATCAAATGGACATTCTCCAAATGAAAAATTTAACACTAAGAACTTTAGATATTTTGAACAGATGAGGGAACATATCAGTACACAGGATTAATAAACTGGAAGACCAGGTCAAATAAGCTAAGAGAGAAATCAGAATGGAAAAAACAGACAAGTGCATAGAAAACATGTGATGCCCAAAGTGGACTTCTGAACTCACGCTTTTCCAGAAGGAGAGTTCACACTGCGAAGCTCTACAAATCACTTCCTTCTAGACTTTTGGATGCTATTAGAAACATACTTAGATACATCTAATTTCATTGCTGACCCAAAGCATCTGAAACTCAAAGGCAATCCAGGGAATAGATAATTTTGTTGGCTTTAATTTTAATGGAAAACCTGTTTCCTTTAAGTGGTTATCTTTGCCAAAATTTGACAACTTCTGAGAAGAGATACAGTACAAAGTTCTGGGGTGGGTAGGACTGATCCAGGTCAAGCCCTCTTCCTAAGGAAGATAATACAGTGTCATAAGAATATATTCATATTTCCATGTTTTAGCTCTTTTTTATTCGTACTTTGGTTTTCTTTTCAAAGCTGTTTGCATCAATCAGTAGCAGATCCCTGCCTTCTTCCCTTGCTCCTGTTCTCTTTGCCTTCCACTTTTGATCTGATGCTTGTGCTATTACTATTCACTGATTTGCAGCTAAACATTGACCAAAGCCCATTGTTTGATATCACACAGTTTGGGCTATTTTATATACTTGGGAAAGGCTTCTGACTTAGAAATAACAGTGTGTTCCCTCCCTCTTTTTCCCCTTTTGACTCCGAATCCTTGATGGTAAAGAGGTATCTCCTGGACACTCAATGACACATGAATCTAATTGCAGATAACTGCTTACCCCACAACTCTGCTTGATGCACTACAGTGACTTGGTTTCTGAGCATAGGAAATGGCCAGACTTGGTTTATACATGTCTGCTCAAAGGCATACCTGAAGGCACACGAGCTGGAGAAATACTAATTATAGTATGAAATCACTTTAAAGTTTTTTTTCCTTAGTTATGGGATGCTTCCACAGACGTTACACCATTTGACTTTCTCAAATTGCGTGTGGTAGGAAGAATGAGTGTTACTATTCCCATTTTGCAACGAAGAGATTAAGGTAGAGGAAGAAGTGACTCATCCAAGGGAACAGCTAGTCAGCATTAAACTCAGGCCTTTCTTACTATTCAGTGTTGATGGCCTTACTTAGGAGGCATGGTGGATGGGTAGGTAGAGGCACGGGGGCATTATTATTGAAATGCGCTCATAGTATAGAGTAGGACTGTGCCTACATTAAACCCATGATAGATATAGACTATACTTTTAAATACCATTCTGGCACCGGTAGAAAAGAGATATTATATTGCAAAGGCCTTTTATCATATGAATCCCCAAATCCTTCTGGGAAATGGTAAAAGATGAGTCTTAGAAATGTGTGCTGATCTTAAAAAAGAGGACATAGATACCTCTGGGTGGTTTGACAAGCTCAGGAACATGTTCTTGGGAATTTGAAATGATAGTTTGTCCAGATTAGATGCTCTCCTGAGCCAGAAAGGGTTTTGCATATTCATTGTCATTTAAGTTGTTCAACCAGCAAGATGTCAAGCATTTAAGCCTGTTTTTCATGAGTGCACTTGGTGTCAAGGTCATGTTGGGAGACGATTCTCGGAATGGGTGTCTCATTTCATCATGTTTTGTGAGCAGAGGAACTAACTGACCTTATTCCATTCTATTATTTCAAGAATGTTTATACAGTGAACAGCCTTGGAAAATAGAGATAATGTCTCTCTGTCCAGAGCAAAGAGTAGGCATGCCTACTGACAAGTGTTAAAGATTCAGGTTCCTTAAGCTCAGGGTCCTTCTCCTATAATGCTCACTCAATGTACAGGTGCCACCTGACCCTTTTTTGTGTTGCCTTATGCTAATTGGCATTCTGGGAACCAGCGCAGGACGATGAGGATACTCTGACTCTCACTATGGCTGAGAGTAATAAAGTCAGTTTTCTGTGACCCAGGCATGTTCCTGTTTTCTTCCAGCATCTGTGCAAGTATGACTGGTTAAGTGTTAGCTTACAAATAGCCTTCACAGTTCTGATGGGTCACAAGGCATCTTCCTGTCCCTTCCCCTCTTCTCTGGCCTGATTAAAAAACAAACAAACAAACAAACCTTTAGGGACTGTGCATTTATAGTTTCCTGAGTCTTGTGTATTTCTAGCAGGCTACTCTGGCATATCTGGTAGAAAGCAGATACGTAGTTGTTAGAAAACAGTCAGCAAATAATGACCCTGTAAAGAACTTGGGGACTTTCAGCTAAGTCACTGCTGCTTCCTCACGGCTGACTTCAATCTCTTTAAGACCAGCTCTGAGCAACCTGGGATTTAAGTCTTGAGTCTGAGGAGTTGCTTTTACTTTCCCATTTTATTGCTCAATACATTAGGAAATCATCCTTACTGTTCTTCACTAGGTTGGATTTTCATCCTTAGCTCACTGTAGACTTCCATTTCTGAATAGACTTCCAGTTCAATTTTCAGTGAATTCTTGCCAAGGTAACCATATTCTACCTGTTGGTTCTTATTATGATAACCCAAAAAAAATCTCTGATGAGATTTATGCTCATTTAAAATGGGGAATTTTTATTTTTATTTTTTAGTATTTTAGGTTAAGTACGTAGGGTCCAGTCATGGTTAAAAAAGTTCTCCAGACTTAGGCTCTCATAATGTTAAAGGTTAATATGATTTTCTAAGGCTTAACACTGCCCGATGACCCTGACATTCACTTCTGTACCTGATCCCCTTTATTTATGCTGATTGCATAAGGGTTTGTACCTTAGTGTGGTTGCATTCACTTATGTTTCCCTTACTCTTTCTCAATTCTACCCTCTCCCTTCTAAGCCTTTAGTAAGTTGCCCATTTGACTCTGGGAGCTGGTCAACCTAGATACTTGCAGAAACTGAATAAATATTGTGGAATGATTGAATGAAGTTACCAGGTCTTTTTTTTTTTTTTTACCTTCTTATCAGAGTTCTTCAATCTAAGTAGGACTTTGGTTTCCCCAATA